ATTTTGCCATACTTGTACTTCTTGCTTTGTGGTCTCTTCATGGTGTAAAGTATTCGCAATGACTTGAGTTGCGGCGGCATGTTTACCTTGGGGTGCGTCCTGTTGCCGCCTCGTTCTTGGTCCCTGTGGCCATCATGTTCGAACAAGCCTAAGTCTTCGATAGTCTTCACTGGCTCAAGTTGGCTTATGACTATGAGCCCTCTATCCCCCCCTCCCTCGTACGGCGGCGTCAAACCGGAGACTGTAACAGGAGCAGATTCTTGATGGAAAAAGCGAGCGTTCGACGGACAACACGCTTGAGACTCAAGAAAGGCAATCACCTCCTCATCAAGACCGTGGATTTTACCCACATCGCGAATCAGACTGAGGGCCGTGTGCTTGGATCCTACAGGCTCATCCTCGTAGCAAATGTACATGAGCTTGACTAGATCTCGGAATAGAGGGAACCATGTCGATTGTCCGTATATGACTGGGAGATTCTGTCGTATAGGGTCGCTTTGAGGAACAAGAGAGAAAAGTGCGTAAATCTTGTCTGCCGCCACCGACGCCTCTGCAGTTCTATATTTCGCTATAAGTTCCATGATTGTTGATGTTTTGGCGACCTGAGACCGGTGATTGCAGAGCTGCGTGCTGATAGACATTCCTTCTGGCCTTTCGTGTATCGTGGAGTCATTGACGCGATTGCCAAATGTGGGTGAGTTATCAGTCGAATCTGAGACTTCACTTTGAGAGACCCCGGCCTTGGTTTTGATGGAGCTGACGGTCTGAACAAGTTCACTCCACGACAGCCTCTCAAATCCGTAATAGATGGCGATGTCCCTGGCGAGGACAATCTCTTGTATAATCCACACCCTATTAAAATAAGGCAATCGGTCAAACCTCTCCCGAAGTTTGCCAATCTCGTAATCGCTTCTAGATGCGAGGATTTGTCGCACATTTCCTAGACTTTCGCCAGACCCGAGGCTCGCAGCCACTAATGAGGCAGAGGAGTAGATATCTCCCATCATGGCAACTTGGTGGCCTTTCTCCTCGTTATTGTCTTGATTGATGCAGAGCGAGTCCATCCAGAAATTGACGTCGCTGGTATAGCCGTGGTGTCGCATCTGCCAAAGCGCGTACCAGCAATTGAATCGCACTTGCATCCGGAGCCCATTGATCACAACCGGCAGTTTTGGGATAGGCAAGCCCCAGGTGTAGGATATGGCGATGTAGGATGGACGACTATTCTCTTGGAAGTCATGGACCTCCAAGCTGAAGGCATATTCGTCGGTTCCGGTTGGAGACGGCTCCAGACGGAGCAATCTGATTTGCCTGGCGGGATCGGAGAATTCCAGGTGTTTGTAGAGGGACGACATCGTCTGTAATTTTGGGCGATGCTGTCTGATGGATGATGCTCTCTGGCAGACTAAAATTTCAATACGAGACTCGGAGAACCAACCGAGAGGCCCTGATGACGGGATAACAACCAAGACGAGAAACTTTCTCAGACGAGCCTCGCAAGCACATGGGCGCGCAGTAAAGGTTTTTATAGAAGCAAGGGCTGATTAGTTGGCCGATGCAGTGCGTCAGGAAGCCGCATGATAGAGGGGCAACTCCAAGAGCGAAGACCGATGTCATTGGGCTGTGCCGCAGTCGTCTACCTACTCGATCTGCCTTGTAGGCAGACCAGTAGGAAATGCACTAATAAACAACATTTATACTTTCTAAGTCGATGAATTAATTCCCTGAAAGCAAACAGCGTGATCTAGAACCTAATCTAGATTGCTCACAGTACTCACCATATCGGAACTGCATTCCCCTCTCTCACTAGGCGAAGGACGGGGTGTTATGCCCTTACTATTCGCGTTTATCTGAATGTTTCTCCTCTCACTAGCAGACGGGCTGGGAAATTTCCTAATCATGGTGCCCGCCACTTTAAGAAAGAAGATGAAGAAGAAGGGAAAAACATAAGGAGTTCTTGCGCTCCTCACAGTACAGTAGTTGGCATCCGCTGGTGCCAGCAGTCGTCAACCTCCAGGCCGTAAGTGCACGAATGTGAGTATGAAGTTCACGCCTGCATTTCCTTCTTCGATGTACACAGCAACCTTTTCGGATCCGATATTTCAGTCCAACCTTCGGACTCATGAAAAGACAATATTGCCAAGCAGGTAATTTAAGCTTGCAGACATTTTTCGGATGTTCGCCGGATTAGAATCCATCGCGCCGCACAGAAGCGTCTGTCTGTCTAGGCAACGACGGCCGTTTTGGGTGCTCTAGCCCGGCGTTCCAGGCTGCCGGGCCACTAAAACTCTTCTTGTTCACTGCCCTGGTTCCAACAGACTACCCCTATTGGCCAGACCGAACATGGTTATGACAGGCAGAAGTGGGCTCATGGCGATGTTGTCCGTACCAACAGCAATAGAGAAATAGATATAAGCATTGCCTTGAGTCTGTAGGTTTTACGAGTCTGTTGATGAAATTTCACTCATTCGACGGTAAAGAAGGCCAAAATGTCGTGGCGAAGCCTTGACGACATGAAGCACATCACTCAAGGGGTTGACGTGGTCAACCCTGAGTACAAGCACCCTCAGCTGGTGATTGTCAGTGAGTAGAACCCCTATGCGGGTGCCCCTTGTCAGCCCAGACTTCTCATTGACACATCTCACCCAAGACGATGCCTTCGTGCTTCCCAACACCTTGGCCACCCAATTCGCTTCCCTGTTCATGAAAGGGAAGCTCTTCAGCGGCAAGGACCCAACCCAGCCCCGACCGTCCGACGAAGATGAGCAGGCCCTCTTCTGCCGGCCCTACAGAGAATGGGCGCCGGCGCCGTACAACAACCCCCGGATCCGGGTCGACAACGCCCTATCCCGCACGATCAGCATCATTGGGGGCATGGGGGATCTCCTCAGCATCGTCATGACCACGAGCACCGAGTGCGACCGCGACCTGCACCACATGAAGACGCGGGTGCTCCACGTCCTGCCGCCCATGTCGCTCGCGCGGTGGCGCCAGAAGGGGCTCCACGAGCTCGCCAACTTTGAGCGCGCGTGCGAGCATCTGAGCCAGGTCGTCGACGCGTTCGAGTATATTAATCTCCCGCAGACGCAGGACCGCATGCGCAAGGCGGCCAACGGGGTGTGGGACACGTGTAGTGATTTCGAGAGGGCGCTGAACGCCTATCGCGCCGAGCGCGGCCGGACGTCGATCTCGGTGACGGCGATGTGGGAGGAGTTTCTGGTGGATTACTTGACCACCGTCGCGGAGAGGGCGCACGCGTGGACGCTGGCGCGGTTGGATGAGCTCAGGGAGGTGCAGTGGGCGAGGCTGCAGGGTACGGTGTCGATGCCCATACAGACGTTGATGCCCATGCAGTTGGAGATCCTGGACAAGGTGCACGATCTCACGGAACTCACGAACAAGGTCGACACGCGGATCATGCTGCCGCTGCCCGGGTTCCGGCTGCAGACGCTCACGGCGGCCATCCCGCGGATACGGGACAACTGGGAGGGGTACCAGGGGGGCACGCCCATGACGGCGTTCCCGTACAACATGCGGTTCCGCTCGAAGGTGTACGCGTTGCGGTGTAAATGGCTCACGGACCAGGCGATGGTGCTCTACACCATGCGGAAGGGCGCAGACGTGAGGCAGCGCGGGGATCCGGTGCGGAGCGAGGAGACCAGCCGGCTGCAGGCGCATGCGTATGTGACGGCCAGGCGGGAGTTGCGCGGGCCGTCGCAGGCGATATCCGGCGACGAGCCTTGGACATGTGAGGTGAAGCACATGATGAACTTGGGGAATAGGTCCCTTCGGACGTGGGGGTTCGTGGGGTATCGCATCTGCTACGAACACTCTGACGAGGAGTGGAAAACGTTCCTGGAAAAGTTCAAGAGCGACGTGACGGCTTGGGGGGATGGGGTGCGTGGTGCTGGTGACGTGAAGCCGTTATGCAAGGTGCGGTGGCTCGATGGCCGGGAGCATGGCATTCCCGAAGGTGATGTCGAGGCAGCGAAACGGTGAGTGCTCTGATGCCAGGCTACTTGGAGGCACCTCTGACATCCACAGACATTACCAGGAGTATAGCAAGTCGCCAGCGATGGCGATGTTTCTCCCGACAGGTCCAGACTCGGTCTTCTTGGCTGCGGACAAGGCGTCCATCGAGTCTTATCTGCATCCGATTCAGGACAGTGCCGGACCTGTCATTCCGGTGGGTGATCTTGGAAGTTTCATCCTCGCCGTCGGAAGCGCGGATAGTGAGAGGCGGAGAAGGGGAAGAGACGAGGGCGAGAGTGAGGATGAGGAAGCGGCAGACGAACCGGACGGCTTCAACGGCATTCTAAGAGTGCTCGGATCAGTCCTCTTCGACGACCTCTGGGCATCCCTATTCCGCCACGCTTTCCGTCTATCGGACCTGGCGAGGCTGGCAGAGATCCATCCTCGGCAGGTCTATGTCGGGCCAACTGTGCCCATGGAGAGAGACGGCTGGCGGAAGTCGGGCACGTGGAGTTTGACGGTGTTGAAGTCGTTTGAGAAGTGGCAGAAACAATGACGTTGCTGCTCGCTCGACTCAAAGGAGGACCTGTACACGTAAATGTCTGTATACATAAAGATACCATCGTTGAGTCAATAGTGCCAGCTTTTCTTGTCTAGTTGAGGATGGTCGTTGCCCAACGATCAAGCCTATGAGACCCTTACGCGCATTGTAGAATTCTCGGGGTCGCAAGCCAACCGATGAACCTCTCATCGTGAAATGAACCATGGGCCTCATAGGCCCCGTACATTCAGACGCAAGTGACTGAAGTTGAGGATGCCGCGTCTGGGCATCCGAAGATCGTGACGTCAGCTGGCAGTCATTCCTGCTGATGCGCAAGCACCTACATCATGTCAACGAATATCTCTCGTGACGAGCAACTTCAAATAAAGGCGAAGCCGATTTTTTGCGACCTTTGACTGAATTTGGGCGAGTCTCATTCCGGATACAACGACTCAGTCAACTTCACCTTGCCTGTCTTCTGTTCGACATGGCCACCACGTTGACCGGCCGCTGCGTCTGCGCCCAACTACAGTACTCCGCCAAACTTGCTTCCACAGACGATGCGAGGACATCTCTGTGCCACTGCTCCAGCTGCAAGAGAGCCTTTGGGACCAACTACGGTCTGACGACCAAGGTTCGTGGCTTCCATACCGGCCTTCATCTATCGCAATCACCGAGAGGTGCGCTGATATCATCCCATGGCCCAAATGTCTCGTTAGAAGGCTTCTCCTACACGCGAGGCCAGCCGAAAAAGTTCAAGCAGGACAACGGCGTGGTCCGGGAGTTCTGCGACACCTGCGGCGCGTTCGTGTGCGAGTACGGGGAGGCGGCGGCGGACAAGTTTCGGTACGTCATGTGGGGGACGTTCGACGAGCCTGACAAGGTGCCGCCCAAGGGAGAGTTCTTTTGCGCGCAGAGAGAAGCGTGGATGCCGAAGATTGACGGTCAGTATTGTTATGTGTGCTGTCGGGAAGCGGACGGGGTGAGTGCTGACGGTGGGCATAGGCGTCTTTCACAAACAGGAGATCAAGCAGTGATGGCGCCCACGGACGAGGAATAATCGAGGTCAAGAGATCTGACAAAGCGGCGCACAGATTTGGGGCAACGGTATCCGTGATACGCGTATTGATATGGGATACGAGCACACGGAGTTCCGCCGTTGGTTCGGGTTCGGGGATGGTGCCGGGGATGAGTAACGGCCCTGCAGATTGCCAGAGTTCAAGGCGCAATTGAACAGATGAATTCCATTTTGTGCCAGAATTCAACGATTTCCTCGGGAATGGTAATTTTTTCTCGCTTGGCAAGCACTTCCATGCGTGGGATAACAAATGATTGATCAACTTCACACATAACCATCCATGTCGCCAACGCCAAGACCCCGCGCGTGTGGCTTGCGAAAGCGAAGGGAAGCATTTTTAGACACGAGCAAACCAACCAACCCCTGGACCTGGCACACAGCGTAAGCTGAAAGCCGATCCCCCTCTTATCGCCTTTTAAGCTTGTTCATCGCGCCCCCCCTTCCCCTCCATCATGTTCCCCGTCCTCCGTTCGTCTGAATCTGCGCTCCCGCGAAACTCTCCCAATTCCCCGGGACAGCGGTCGCATCTGGAAGCCTTGGCTGCGCATTGCAATCACGGAGAGCTCATTCCGACATCAAAAGATGGGCCAGAGAGAAACTCAGCCCAGGACGGGCTTGCGACAGCGCAGTCGCACAGCGCTTCTTATCGTGGCATGTGCCCTCGCACTCTACGCCGGCGTCGTACAGATCTTGACCCTGATTGCCGGCACATGGGTTACACGGGGCTGCGATGGCATCCAACGATTGGGACTGTCAAGCCTGTCAATACTAAAAGTGCGTCTGCAACCTGTGGCGGCTGCGCAACGCTCAAAGTTTGGCTGACCGTCGCACAGTTTGACGGCATCGTTTCCTCAGCCTTGAAGCCCGACTCATACGATCTCACGATGCACCTCTTCCTCTCCTCCTTCGGCTACGAGTACCCAAACGCCTCAACCGCGGCCTTCGCTACCGCCGAACCCAACTTACCCTACGACTTCATCCAGATCGGCGAGCACCTCGGCGTCGACCCCTCCTCATGGGCCTGCCTCCGCAGCGCCGACCAGTGCACATCACCATTCTTCAACACATTCAGCCGCGACAGCTTTGAAATGAGCCGCACGCTGGAGTACGCCTCGCATATCCTCGCCATCGCCTACACCGCCGTCCTCTTCCTCACCGAAGCCCTCATTGCCGCGCGCCCGAGCTGGCTGCGGTGCCAGTGCTACTTCGCCGCCCTGAAGCGTGTGTGTCCCTGCCCGCGCGGCTCGCGCGCCCAGATCGAGGCCCTGTCGCCGGGGTTCTGGGACAGGTACCGCGAGTGGGTTTGGTTCACCCTGCCGGCGTTTGTGTTCCTTCCGGCCTTTGGACTGGTGATGAAGGGGCTGCTGCTCAAGAGCTACATGAGCCGGCCGGGGGCGGGGGTGGTGAATGCGCGGTTTGGGGAGGGGTTCGTCGTGGCGGAAGGGACGGCGATCGGCGCTGCGTGTCTGGCGGTGGTATGTGTGTACGTGAGGGCGTCGTTGGGGAAGAAGGTGAACTGGATGGAGCAGCAGGGCGGTGTTGCTGATGCCGAAAGCAAAACTGCGACCGTCGGTCTTCTGTCGAGGGGGTTCACTGACGCCGAACCGGACATGCCCCTCTCATCGGACCCTTATGGTTCACATTGCGACCAAGAACACGCTGGCGAGAAGGACGAGGCTGGTGATGAAGAGCAGCGGCTCAGGCACACGTAAAGCCAGCTGCTGTGATGCAACGCTTTGATGGAATTCAGCATCTAGATGAGAATACCCATTTGCCCACTTACCTTACCTACATAGGTAGCAAACCGTCCTACCAAATGATACCACAAATCTCAGATCCCCGGGCACTGCCCCTCGTTTCACGACCTACGTAGCTCGATTGGCGAATCAACGAAATCGTCATCGATTGCGGTTCCTGCCGATCGGCCCTGCATAAGGGTGGACAGGAAGAAGAACCGCATTCCGCAAAAAGAAGGGGTTTCTCCGCTAAAACGCCATGGCGTGGAACACGCGCATCGCACCACAATCCTGATGTCATCGCTTCTGCGACAAGCTGTCATCGATTCTGCGCCCGCCCCTCGCATCGGATGAGGTATGAGCGCGTTTGCAGAGGGCAACCCCGTGCGGGAGGGATGATGCCATAGTTCGTCAGGAGGAGGGCCTGTTAAAGTGAAGCTGGGCTCCGAATGTAATGGCTCTTTCTTCATTTGCTACCCCCCTTAATACTTTACCATAACACTGCACAGCTACATTGCAACAATTCTGAGTAATACTCTCGAAGATACTATTACTCGACTGAAGAAGCACCATCCAAAACTCATCAACCCAAAGAGACCTACCATCATGGCCGCCCGTCATTTCGCAACACCCATCGCCGCGGGCGCAGTCCTCCTCGGCGGCGGCCTCTACGCCTTCAACAGACACGTCAAGCCCGAAAACCCGGCCGGCGACCCGGCCCAACAAGTGTTTGACACAAAGAAGCCCCGCCCGACAGCCGACGAGGTCGCCAACAAAAAGCAGCAGGCCGACGCGAAACGCGACCTCGGCATGGGCGGCGCCGGCGTGGGCATGAACCAGATGACCGGCGGCACCGACATTGGTTCCGGCCTCAAGAGCGGCAACACGGACAACCCGAACCGCGACACGCCCAAGGGCCCGAAGGACAAGTTCCCGTCGGATGCGGGTGCGATTGGCGGTGGACAGGGACGCGGGAATGCGAATAGCAGGGCGATTGAGACGCATGGCCCTGGGTCGAGCGCGGGTGCGAGTAACACCGAGGGAGGCATTTCGCAGAAGCTGGGGAGCATGTTTGGCACGGGAGGCGGCAGCCAAGGGAAGGAGAGGCATCAGAGGCCGGTTGATACCAAGGTTGCGAGCCATATGGCTGACACCCCGACGAACCGTGGAGGAAGCCCGTGGGATAAGCATCGCAAGGACGTCACGGCGGCGGCTGCGTCTAACCAGTCATGAGATGATGAGTGAGTCCTCTGTAACTGTAAACTAGAGAAAAGAGTGAAGCATTAATAATTGGCACCAATCTCCTCATCATCCTTCACTTGCTCCTCGTCCACGATGATAACGGCTTTACCGCTGATCTTACCGCTATTCACAAGCTCCAATGCTTCAAAGATCTCATCCAGTCCGTGGAAGACGTTATTCTCCAGCTTGATGCCATGTTCCACGATATGTTCCAGCATCGTCTCCGTCTCTCCCCTTGAGCACGTCAGAGTTCCCTTTACCGTGATATCCCGCACTGTCAACTCCAAGAACGGGATCTTCACCTCAGCCGGCTGCGCAAGCTGGTGCATTGTGCCATGCATCTTCGTAACCGCGCACGCAAGCCCAGCAGCAGACTCCGCATCCGCCAGATTCACCGTCGCATCCGCCAGCACTCCCCCCGTCGCCGTCTGCACCTCCGCCACAACCTCCGCGTTCCCCATCCTCGCATCAAGCACAACATCCGCGCCGCTCCGCTTCGTCAGCTCTAACCCTTCATCCCGAGCATCGACCCCGATCACACGCAGCCCCAACGCCTTCGCCATCTGCACGCCCAAGTGCCCCAGCCCGCCGCCCGCCCCGACGATGGCAAGCCACTGCCCCGGCTCCAGCCCAGCCTGCAGCACCCCGCGCCAGGCCGTCCTCCCAGCACACGCCAGCGGCGCGGCGCTGAGCAGCGAGACGCACTCGGGAATCCTCACGCTCGTCCGCGCGTCGGCGCGGACATACTCCGCCAAACACCCGTCCACTTGCATGCCCAGGATACCCTTCTGATTGGGGCAGTAGTGCGTGTACCGCTCCGGGCCGGTACACTCGGCGCAACTCCCGCACAGCCCCAGCGGGACGCCGCACATGACGCGGTCGCCGATTGTGAAGTTCGCGACCGCGGCGCCGACGGCGACGACGGTGCCGGCGCCCTCGTGGGAGGCCGTGATGGGGAGAGGCAGCGGGAGGGCGCCGGCATGGAACAGGCTGTCGGTGTGGCAGTAGGACGCGACGGCGACTTTGACGAGGATGTCGTGGGGTTCGAGGGCGGAGGGGACGGGGACGGAGGCGAGCTCGTAGGGCGCGTTGTAGGCGACGACCTGGACTGCTTTCATCGTCTCGGGGAGGGTTGCGGAGGCCATTTTGTTCGGTGAGGATTGTTGAATCTGGCGAGGTCGCTTCGCGGTGTTTGGTCGGGGTGGGATGGGGTTGAGGGTCTATCTCGAGGGGACTTTGGCGAGGAGGGTAAGCATGGTTTGGCTAGGCGAGATTGACGTAGTGTTCGTCTGACGGTAGCTCGTTTGGATTGGAGGAGGGGGTGAAGCTGCGTGAGCTTGGCGTCAGCATGTCGGACGTCTCGAGGATGCGAAGATGGGTGGACGGTCGTACTTAGAGTGTGTTGACTTTAAACGAGGCGTCAAGTTTGCCTGGATTTCCAAACACACAACATTGTGTCTACTGTCCTTGAGCCAATGCTTGTGGTTGCCAGATGAGTGCTTTGTGCTTATTCTATCCTCATCCCAAGGCCTGGCCACTTCATCTTGTCATTCTCACAAGGTCGATGCATCGGTCGGTCGATCGGTCGGCGGAACACGCTTCCATCGTGCTAAGCGCGCAGTCTGCTTCGACGTCTATTAGAATCATTTCCCCAAAACAGCAGCCCACCAGACTTACCGAGATGACCTGGTTTCTGTCGATGGGCTCCGTGACAATGGTTCGCTGTTTAGTAACTTACTGTCCAGATCAACATACCGAAGCATCTTCCGGGTGAAAACGTCGAGCCAACGCGATCATCTGCCATACCATCTGCCCACCATCCCGCGGTTCTGTCCCCCACTTGCCGATCCCACGTGGATCTACAGCCCGAGCTCTCGTCCCGCTGCGGATGCATCCACAGCGGACCCCCGTTTCGGAGCCTCGTGTTTCTCTCCGATGGTTTGTTTCTGATAGATCTGTTGTACGCGTTGAGATGGCGGTG